GGTAAACTAATCTAATGGTTTAAGAACGGTTCACGTCTGGAGATGATGGAGCATAGCTGGTGCTTCAGAGGAGTCTCTGTTCTTACTTTGGCATTTAATCCAAATGACAGTTAAGTTGAGGGGAGGAATGAAATCATACTGTGGTTCTTCATGGTGTTTGGATGACTCCTACAGAATCAATTTTTTTTTAAAAGTACCCTTTAGTTTGTTCACCTGGCACATATTAATATGCACAATCCAACAGTCCTCATGGCTGCTCCTTCTCTATTATATCTGTGTAATCCTGCTGTTCGCTAAGTAAAAAGGCATGATAATGACTTCAAGATGTTTTGACCCTTCCCAAATCTGACTGTCCACTTAAAATCTGAGGCTCTTTTGGAGTGAATCACAATTAATTTGCTTCTACCTTAATTCAATCTCTGGGATGCTTTCTGGGCTTGGTCTGTCAATCATGCTGCTGATGTCCAGGCTAGAATCAGCTGCTGCTACAAGAAATATCCTAGCTTAGTTTTCTGCTGGTGGAACAACACTACCTCTAGAGATGCTGGGCAAGAGGTTCTGGCTCCCTGAGGCTAATGTTGGGAAGGGGCATGCTCTGTTAAGGTCATCTTCCAGAGCCGGTGTTTTATGAAGCATCCTCCTTGAGCAATGGACGTACTGGGCTGGGTCAAGCCTAAAAGCAGAAAAACCTTCAGAACCTGAAAGGGATCTTGCTTCAAATGTTAAAATGCAATGTTAAGTCCCCTTCCAAATGGCTAAATAGCTTTCTGGGGGGATCTGAGACCATTTTCTCAGTGAAACGCTCTTCAGTTCATGTTGATATTCTTTGCTTCAGAAATACCTTGTCGTCCACCTCCTGATATCACCCATGGATCCCATACTGGTCAGACTGTACAAGAGTTTTCCTTTGGCTCAGCAGTAACTTACAAATGTGACCAGGGCTTCTCTCTTATTGGAGAGGCCTCCATTCATTGTACAACTAAAGATTATGTCAATGGAGAGTGGAGTGGGCCTGCCCCTGAATGCAAAGGTTAGTGGTGTCTGTTTTTATCCCCTTCTTGTTCTACTATCTCCTCCCAGGAAAAACTATATTTTGATTGCTAAGTAAACCCATAAACCTGAGGAAATTCAGTTAGTGCTTAGTCCCCCTAAATATGTATCATGGAAACTAGTTACTGTTGGAAAAGTAAAGAATGACTGATAATTCATAAATCATTTCTGGAAACCATTTTTGCCTCTAATCCATCCTGTATTTTTTGTCTCCCTTCAGTGTTCCAAGGTTGCAGTTAATTCTCATGTCACAAACAGTTGTTTTTTTTTTTTTTAGGTTGGAGATAAACTCTTAAACTAGGGTTTTGGTTTTATTCCAGTACCCTACTATTCAGTGCTAAAGGGGAGGGAGAGAGAGAGCCTTACAAGCAGGATTGTTTGGAAACCATATTTTTCAGAACTCTCTGGGAGGGCTCCTTGGCAGTGAAAGCTCAGGCCTCTGTGAGTTCATCTCACAGCCATGAAGTTCTTAGGAGGGTGAAATAAAGGTCATTGTACAATCCTCATTTGGGGGACGGCAGTGCTCACGCCCACTATTGCATTTAGCTAACAATGCATTTATGTACTTGGTATTCAAGCAGCTGCAACATCTTGGTTTTATTCTTGCTGAGTTACCCAGCCTAATAGTTGGGATGGAGGCTTTTTCAGAGGCATTAGGCAGGTTGGTCACCTCACTACTTTAATGTTAACTCTCCCAAATGTGGGGAAGTTCAGTTCCAGAATATCATTGTATGTAGATCTCTTGACCCCAATTCCTGATGGCTTCATACAATGATGATGTTTAACTCATGCGGTATACTGGAGGGGGATGCGGGCGGGGCCTCATAGTCTACATACAGCACAGCACCCAACTGTATGGGAAACATCTTTTTAAAGAGAAAGATCCAAACTTATATAACTTTATTTTAAAATACATGTTGGTACCAGCCGTAGTCAAGTATCAGGCTTTGCATGTATGTATTATATTCTGTTTGACATACAGGCTATATCTTAATACTGATGTGAATTTCTTGTGCAGTCTTAGACTGAAGTAGTCTGTCATGCCTGATTAGGAAAATTCTTGATGTGTGTGTGTATATATCAAGTATATTATAATATTTATATGTATAATAATATATGTATAATATTTTGATTTTTGTTCTTTTTTGCTTGGGGAGGCAAAAAACCTTGAGCCGGCCCTGGTTACAGAGCTTTCATGTGTATTTTATATTTACTCACTTTAGATTATGTCGATCATATAGATATTTTTCGGAAGGGAGAGACATGATGAAAGTGTAGGAGGATCCATTGTGTTGCTCGTGCCTCCCTGTTAACTATTCTCCTCCCTTCTGTAGAAGCCATGTTTCAAACAAAGAAAAAACCCCACAGCCCTCTCTATCCCTACGGATCGTTTTCCTTGAGCTTTCTGTCTGGTGTATAGATTCCAACCCAACTAATGACCTAAACACAAGTGAACCCTGAACACAGGGATGGTGGGGTTCGATTAGTTTCTCATTCCTCACCAAATAATCTCTGCTGCTTTTGAAGTCTTTGATCCAACTTTTTTATTTAGCGTAATTCTTCCCTGTTAACAATTTTCCTCCCTTCCCCTCAAAACAAACCAACCAACCCTGGACTCCACACTCAAAATCTGAAGCTAGTTTGGAGTGAAACCCAGTACTAAAACTTCTCCCCAATTTATTTGCTTTAACTCTTTTGTCATTGTGGTCTGATAAGACTGTTATCCGGGATTTGTTCAATGGAGCCAAAAATCTTCTAGATGAATGGATGTTGGGAGTGGAGAAAAGTTTGAAAGCGGAAAGGCTTGTAAATCTAAAGATGGTAATGCCTCACATTTTTTTTAAAACAGAGTACAAATTACACTCTCAAAGGGTTAATTTTTCCCCCTTTTTTTTGGAGGAATTGTAAACAAATGTTTACTTAATCCTTACAATTCACCTCTAACTGAAATGTGCATTAATATTCATGATGCCATTCTCTT